TCGGAGGGACGGAGAGAACCCCTGGGCTGTCGAGAGCCGTGCGGAGACAAAGCCGCGTTCGTCGCGGGGGGAAGAAGGGCTCGTCCGAGGGTGGGATCCGGGTTCGGTGGCGTCCCAGCCCGCCAGGGGACCCGCACGTCGCTGCCTCGCAACAGGTCCGCCGCGTCGCGCGTGGCCTCGCCCTCGCTCCCCTCCCCCGCGCCCCCCGCCCCCCGGGGCGCCTCCGCTCGTCCGAGCGGCGGGTCGGCCACCGGCTTCCATGCGGTTCGGATCCACAATGATGCCGGTAAGCGGGTTGGCGTGCGGGGGGGGGGGGACCGCGGCGTCGGGCCCGGAAGTGCGCGAGTTGGGGGGGCCGTGGGCGGAGGCGGTCCGCGTCGCGGGCGAGCCTGGAGTGCAGTCCCCGGGCTCAGGGGATCCGAACCCCCGGAGTTTGAGCAGAGGTTGAGGCGCCAACTCCAGTTCTCGGGATCCCTGGCGTGGGGGGTTCGGCGCTACCCTGGGAGGGTCTTCTCCCCCCCCACTCCCAAACCAAACGTTGTCCAGGAGTTAGTTGAGCCGCGCGCGGGTGGGGTCGCCCCTCGAAACTTCTCGGCTCTGGATTGAGCCCCGAGTCTTGAAGGTCAAGGGGAGCGGAGCCGGGCGGCGTGGACGCGATCCTGGATGATTCCCATTGTCTAAACTTTGGTACCGGACGGAACAGCACCTGGGAAGAGGGTGCCCGGCGTTTCCCTTGGCTTTCGATCTGAGACCGCGCAGCCCGGTCTCTCTCACCTCTCGGTGGAGACGAGTTTTAGCCGAGGCAACCTCTGAAGTTTGAGTTCTCGGCAGAACCGTCGGGGCCCGGTTCCCCGCGGCACCCCCCCACCCCCAAGCTGGGCCGGGGATGAGCGCGTTCTGTCGGTGCCCCGCCGGCACTTGGCGTGGCCTCCCGCTCACAGGTGAACTGTGCGTTGGAGACGCTACTCCAATAAATGTCCCTTTTTTTTTTCTTAAGCGAGCTCAGAAAAATCTGGCGGGTCGCGGTGGCGTTCTGCAGGGGTTTGGGAGAGCGAAGCCTCGTGGAAATTACGTTCGCTCCGTTCCCACGGAAGCAGGGGCAGCAAGCCCAGGTTTTTATGGCTCCATTTGTCCAAAACAAAGGAACAGACCGACCTTCATTTTGCTTTTGCAGAACCTGTGCAATGGATGTTTCCCCCCGCCCCCCGCACCCCCAGCCACGTATTGCCCCCCCCCTTAACTTGTGTCATGGAGGACAACCCAAAACTTGAACGTACTGGACAAACATAGCTTGATTAAACCCTAAGTGGTTTGGATTGGTTTGGGATGGATTGTCCGGCTAGGAATCAAGGAATTTGGAATTGTTAAAAGCGTCTTGCCTCTTCGGGTTATGAAGTTATGTTTATGGTGTGAATGCTCAAAATCTGTGCCTTGAGTAAGGCTGAAGGGTTTTGTAAAGGCTTTTTGTCCCGTGAATTTACTTTTCTTCCACATGAAATTGCTTTAGCAGGGTGTGTGTGTGTGTGTGTGTGTGTGTGTGTGTGTGTGTGTGTGTGTGTGTGTGTGTGTGAAAAACAAGAGAGAACAGGTGTTTGTTGTGGATAGCTTCTTTAGGGATTAGTTCTATGTCAAGGTATCTCTTGGGGTTTCTTTTAAAATGTGGGGACATTTTCCTTCCCCCAACTACATATTCTTTCATATCATATCATCAGATTTCTTAAAAAATTGGATTCCAGACAAAATTCAGTTCACGAATATGTTTTTCAGACTGCTTTTCTGATGTTAGGCTAAAATCTTAACAGACTTGATGTGTTGTGGTGGCAAGCTCACCAACTTTGAAGTCAGACTAACCCCTTTAAGATTGAACAGCTCCTACAAACTTCAGTGACCAAAGGTTTTTATTTTTATTTCTTTTCTTTTCCCAAATGAGGATGGGATGCTAATTCCAGTTAGGTGGGTTTTTCTGATTAGAGGTACTGTTACAGCCCAGCTTAGAGTGTTTTAGATAAAAACTGCCTGAATGATTAGCTTGGTTAAACTGGAAATTCTTATGCTGTGATACATAAATATGGGAAAAATTTTATTTATGTTATTCATGTTATTCTATTCATGCTATATGTGCTTTTGTACTGTGGTATTTGGGATGCTTGGAAAGAAATTATTTTTCATTGGTGGGAAGCAGGGTCTTTGCACATGCAAGTGCTCTAACACTTTAAGTTAGAGCTGGGAGTGGAGATATGGCTCAGTTGGTAAAGCACCAGCCTTGAACAAAAATAAAACAAATGAGAGTGCAAGGCCTTAAGTTCCAGCCCGGTAAACCCCCCCCCCCCATGCTGACTAAGGAGTGGGAAGTATTCCAATAGTGTAACTCCTTTAAACAACTAAGTAACAGTTTAACAAAATAAATACCTGGAAACTGAAACACATTTTGTCAAGGAGGGAGGTGTAGGGGAAGGAGAGACAAGATGACTGGAGAAAGGAAGGGTGGGAGAAAACTAGTCACATGTGAAAATGAAACCAGGTGACTATATGGATGAGGTTAGGAGAGATGGAGAATGATGGG